ATATTGCACATTAATGGAAGATTTTTTTATGTTTTCTTATAGGTTGTTGATTTTTATGACTTAAACAAAAAAGGAAACAAAAAGGATGGAATTTGGAGTCAAAATGACGTTTCTAAAGAAGTACTTAACGCCAACCGCGCCAAGGACAGCGTCGACGGCGTAGAATAACAGAACAGCTGAAAATTTTATTCAGTGTCGACAATGTCAGACTAGTGCCGATGGTGCCAAAGGCGTTTCAGCCCCCGTTTCTAGAAGTTTTGATGTATTTCGATGATTTTTGAAGAGTTTTTGGAGGCACCTCTTGGAGATCCGACCTTGGGCTTTATTTGGGCCTGAAATTCATCAGGAAATAGACTCATTTTCTCTCCAAAACTTTCCACTATGCTCCATTATCGCCATTCTTCATAGTCCATCTTCATTCTACCACCCTATTGGAGTTCATTAGTGATTTTTCTTTCATAGTTTAGAGTTTTTGTGGTGAGATTTAGTGTGAAAATTTCTGTAAGAGTGTTGGATAAGGAGAAAAGTGAGAGATCTTATCTTCCTACATTTCTAATAAAAGGCTACAAGGGATTTACTTTGAGAAAGAGTTTTAGATAAGTTTTGTTTATTTATTAATTTTGTATGAAGTTTCTTTTATATATAAAAATTTGTGTTTGATTGTGTCTTTTTCATGAAGTCTGAGTACTTCCCTCTATGTTTCTCCCTACCCTGAGATATGGTGAAATTGAGAGATAATATGACGTGCCAATATTAAAATATAAAATAAATTGTGATGATTTTTTGACTCCGAACTTAATTTACATTTTGATCTAGCCAATTGAATTGTTAAAATATGTTCTGAAACATATGATCTGGTAAATGAAGTATGAGTTCTATAATAGAGTGAGGATCACATTTGATTTCATGGAGAAGAAATTTGTTCATGGAATTAAGTGCAAATAAATAGAGAAATGATCTTTGTTAGGTATAGAATTGGAGAATCTTTAGGGTGACAGACTAAAATCCCCAATTCAGTGCTCGTGTTTAAAAACTAATGCGAGAGTTAGCTTTCAGGTGAAGGGAAGTGGGAGCTCTGGAGTGGGAGCTGGTATCCTCTATCCTACCTACGGATTTAGAGACTAAACCTAGGATTAGCCAATGATTTTCAATGCACTGTATTAGGGTAGAGAATCATAATTGCTCTTATTTGACACAATACATATTATAAACATTTATCTCATCTCATATCACCAGAACCTCATTGTAGTGGGAATGATGTTTTTTCACATAAGGAATCTTCATTACATAAACATAATCAACAAGTTTTACGCTGGTTTTCGACTACCTAACACAACCCTCTACTTTTCTCATCCGAGCTTGGGACCGGCAACGGCAGTGTTAAGTTTGAGGGATTTTGATACACCGAAAATATATGCATTTTTAAACCCATATTTTATACTTATTTTTTGTCATATTGCACCTTAATGGAAGGTATTTTGATGTTTTTTTGCAGATTGTTGATTTTTAGGACCTAAACCAAAAAGAATGGAATTTGGAGTCAAAATAATGTTTTTGAAGAAGTACTCAGCGCCGATCGCGCCAAGCGCAGCGCTGACAGCGCGGAACAACAGAACAGTTGAAATTTTACTAGTTTTGACGGCGCCACAGGCGGTTGAGGCCTCCATTAGTGATTTTTCTTTTATAGTTTAGAGTTTGTGTGGTGGGATTTAGTGTGAAACTTTCTGTAAGAGTATTGGAGAAGGAGAAAAGTGAGATATCTTCTTCCTGCATTTCTAAGAAAAAGCTACAAAGGATTTGCTTTAAGAAAGAGTTCCAGATAAGTTTGTTTGTTTATTTAGTGTGGTATGAACTTTCTTTTATACATGAAATTTGTGTTTTGTCGTATCTTTCTCATGAAGTCTGAGTAGTTTCCTCTATCTTTCCCCCTACTCTGAGATCTGAAGAAATGAAGAAATGAAGAAATAATATGATGTGCCGATATTAAAATATAAAATAAATTGTAATGATTTTTCGACTCCGAACTTAATTTACATTTCGATCTGGTCAATTGAATTGCAAAAATATGTTGTGAAACGTATGATCCGAGAAATGAAGTATGACTTCTACAATATATGGAGGATAAATATGAGGATCACATTTGATGTCATGGAGGATAAATTCGTTCAGTGCAAATAAATAAGGAAATATTCTTTGTTGGGTGGAGAATTGGAGAATCTTCAGGGTAACAGACTAAAATCTCTAATTCGATCTTAGTGTTTAAAAACTAAAGCGAGAGTTAGTCTTCAAGTGAAGGGAAGTGGGAGCTCTGGAGTGGGAGTCGGTATCCTCTTAGCCTAACCATGGATTTAGGAACTAAACCTAAGATTAGCCAATGATTTTCTATGCA